TACTTGATAATTAAATTCTACGAAATGTCGATCTGATTTACTGATGGACACTATTACCACATTTGCTGTATCCATTATCTTTCAACAGATATTTTCCTTTAAAAATTGAAGTAACCAAAATTCTGATCTGGCTCATTTGATAGCCCTTTTCAAAAGCTGCAGAATCATATATTCTCCAAAGTCAATAAAACATGGTCACCTGAAAAATTCCCAACCACATTCTTTTTGGAGCACGATTTTGTACATTTTCCACTAGTATTTAGCAAGTTTTTTCTGCAAAATTCGCAGCCTGAGCCAAAACTAATGTTATATTCAGAATCCGCATGCAAAACTGCATCAATTCATATATGTTTCAAATAATTCTGAGATATTTTATTTTTCGTTGAAAAAATTCGCCCTATTCACCCTCAGGGAAAGCTCGAAAAATGATATCTCACAAATTGGCCCCTTTATCAGCTGATTTGCTGCGATTTCAGTTGCGTTCGTATTTTAGAAGTTAAGGTGCTTTATTCTATAAGACAAATTGTGTTTTTTAGAGATATCATTTTTTGAGCATTCCCTGAAGTGGAATAGGGCGAATTTTTTCAACGAAAAATAAAATGTCTCAGATTTATTTGAGAGTTGTCAGAGTTTTCCTAAAAGGGGTATTTTGATCAACTTCAGTTCTTTTTTGGCGTTTTTTGACCTCACGCACAAATAATCAACATCAGCACAACAGAATGTCGTGAAATAACAAAAACTAAAACTTGCAATAGTTTTTCGAGGATTTTTTCATACCTTGTATGAGTTTTTTGAGTTATCTTTCGTTCTATCAGGGTTTTTTTGATACATTTTAGAGTAAAGTATCATATAATTAGATAAAATATGACAGAAGATATAGACACCCGATGGTGGCATTCTGGGTGTGGGTGTGGCTGTGGCTGTCGCTGTGGGTTAAAAGAAGAACTACATCCACACCCACACCCCACACCCACTCACACCCACCCACATCCACACCCACACCCCACACCCACCCACACCCACCCACATCCACACCCACACACCCCACACCCACTCACACCCACCCACATCCACACCCACACCCCACACCCACCCACATCCACACCCACACACCCCACACCCACACCCTAGTTGACTGGTGTATTGATGGTCGACAATCATAATAATCTCTTGTTGTTGAAGTATTTCATCAATTGAAAGAAAGAATAAGGCGAATGTTTTTCTTTCATTCCGATTTAAAACGAAAGGTCTGTGGGTTCGAAATCAAAACATTACTCTCTTGAGTGACGCAGAGAACTATGTTTATTCTTCGCGAGAAACGAAGAGTTTTTTTCCCAGTTTTTTTCCCAGTTTTTTTCCCAGTTTTTTTCCCAGTTTTTTTCCCAGTTTTTTTCCCAGTGTTATTACATCAGTAGTTCGAGACGCATGACGTCATTTGTCTTGCGATATAAAAATGCATATTAAGATTCACAATCATTCTTTCATTTCCTCCAGTTTCAACCGACAAGATTCAAAGGTAAATAACGAAATAAAATCTTTTCTCTTCTTTAAGATGAAAGAGTTTTTTTTCTACGAAATCTTACAGTAGCGTCCGAATTCCGTGAATTACGAACTCTTCAGGAATTCTTGAACTCAAAAATTATTTAACGAGTACGGGGGCTAAGAAACCGCAGCATAAGGTGGCGTAAACAAATTCAAGGATCCCATGGATCCCAAGGATTTCAAGGAACTCAAGGATCCCATCGGAGGTACAGGAGATATTGGAGATGCAGGAGATATTGGAGATATAGGTAGTATTTGAGATAATGGAGATAATGGAGATAGTTGAGATATAGTAGATATTGGAGGTATAGAAGCAGGATGTTGGATTGACCTTTGATCCATGATCTTTCACTAGGGAACACACACAAAGTAGTAATAGTCACTAGGCTTCTTCGTACAGAATATTTAAAAATATATATATATCTACTCTCGTTCCCTCGAAAAAATCTAGGATTATTCCTACGAGATAAATCTGTCTTAATGAAATGTCAGCGGTCAGTTTACAACAAGGTACACATTTTATATGCGTGTAAAACTTGAAGCTTGAATTCAATTGAGTTTTCAACTTTCAACTTTCAACTTTCAAGTTCCTATGAGTTGTGACTGGAACGACTGACACACAAACTCACGCACACATCATCGCAGCTGGTGTGGGTGCCGCGTAAGGACTGACCACACTGCGGCACACATCTTAGAGGACCTGGTGTGGGTACAACCGAAGGATTGGACACAAAAGGAGTGACTAAGAAGGGACTTGTTACACTGTGACACACATCATAGAGCTGCTAGTGTGAGTTCCGCGAAGGGACTGGCCACGAACAGACTAGTCACACTACGACACACATCACATGACAGCTGCTGTGGGTGCGGCAAAGGTACTGATCGCGATAGGGAGTGTGCATAATACGATCCACATCACATGGCAGTTCATGTGGGTGCGGTTAACATTGATCTAATACTTGAAGCTTAGTTTCAACTAAGCTTTCTAGTTTCAACTAGGCTTTTTAGTTACAACTAGGCTTTCTAGTTTCAACTAAGCTTTCTAGTTTCAACTAGGCTTTTTAGTTACAACTAGGCTTTCTAGTTTCAACTAACCTTTCCAGTTTGAACTTTCAACTATCAAATTTCAAATTTCATCCACACAGTGACATATCTTGCATGTGTCTCGATGTGGGTGCCGCGAAGAAATTCATCCAGTGTCTCTGCCAATGTCATACGTGTTAAACCTGCAAGTGGAATGAACTACCCAGTAATCCCATGAATAGTCACTGGATGCTAAGAATTATTCCCCGCCGAACTGACCTTTAATATGAGAGAGGGAACCCATATGATGTTTTCAGAAAGTTTGCGCGGAAACTAAATTACACATCGACAGAGGAGATATAGTTGATCTTGGAGATGCAGGAGATATAAGAGGTATAGAGACATTGGTGATATAAAGAAGATTAGAGATATTAGATATATTACCTAACTAGTGCAGATAACCTTTATATAGAGCTTGACTTTGAATAGTGATCCATTCAGATATATTCATTCAACTTTTCGACACTTCTTCGATAAAATCAATCATAAAAAATAAATAACTGTTTACTGTGCCTCCTACATCTCTATATATTCAATACCTGCTATACCTGCCATATCTCCAATATGTCCAATAGGATGGTTGAATTCCTTGGGATCTTTGGGATCCTTGCGATTCTTGGCTTCTTTGAGATCCTTGGCTTCGTTGGAATCCTTAGCTTCCTTGAATTGCTTGGGATCCTCGGCTTCTATGAGATCCTTGGCTTCCTTACATTGCTTGGGATCCTTGGCTTCCTTGGAATCGTTGACTTCCTTGGGATCCTTGACTTCCTTGAATCGCTTGGATCCTTGGCTTCCTTTGGATCCTTGGCCTCCTTGGGATCCTTGGGATCCTTGGTTTCGTTGAGATCCTTGGCTTCCTTGGTTTCGTTGGGATCCTTGTCTTCATTGGGACCCTTGGCATACTTAGGATCCTTGGCTTCCTTGAATTGCTTGGGATCCTCGGCTTCCATGGGATCCTTGGCCTCCTTGGGATCCTTGGCTTCTTTGGGATCCTTAGCTTCCTTGGGATCCTTGGGTTCCTTGAATTGCTTGGGATCCTTGGCTTCCTTGGAATCGTTGACTTCCTTGGAATCCTTGGGTTCCTTGGGCTCCTTTAATTCCTTGAGATCCGTCTTAGCGTTCGTACGTGTTAAATCATTTTGGAATTCAAGAATTCCTCAAGAGTTCGGAATTCACGGAATTCGGACAGATCTCCGATATAGTGACAGTCTTTACGTTATACAACTAATATTGTAGATAACTTGCATTTCTGTCATTATGGCCACAGCGCGCTCTGGTTTCTGTGGCGTTAGCGAAGGAATTTGGCAATTTGTTGTGCTTTTTGCAGCTATTTACATCAACTTCAACGTAGACGGGTATAACTTTGTATTCGGTTTGTTGAAGTTAGAAATCGAAAAAGAATACCCACACATTGAGAAACAATGGATTGCACTGATCGGCTCGCTAGTGCCAGGGCTCTATTGTATACTAGGTACGTTTCGTCGATAATTAATTTATCTATTTTTATCTATTTTCTATAATAATTAAAGCCCCGGTTGCACCATATGTCGCAGACAAAATTGGCATGCGACTTACCATAATTATTGCCGCTGGATTGCAACTTTCAGGCTTTGCATTAGCTTTTTTGAACAAATCTAAGTGGGGTTATGCTGTTGATTTGCTGGCTTTGGGAGTCTTTCAAGGTATGTCGCTTATTCTTTGTAATTTTGTTATCTGAATATGTAGTGTATCATATATCATATATTATATATTATATAGGTCTGGGGTCCGCTCTACTCCTCACGAATTCGATATCTAGTATTACGGATCGGTTTCACAAAAAAGGGAAAGCGCTTGCTACGGGTTTCGTAACGGCTGGTTCACCTTTTGGTGCAATTTTCTACGGTACTTTCTTCAAAACATTTCTAGAGGCAACACCTTTCGGTTGGCGCGGAACATTGCTATTTTTTGCTGGGCTTGCTGGAGTTAACGTTTTGTGCGGTATAGTATTCATCCCTCCCTCAGAAAATCAATCTGATCAACCCAAACCCAAACCCCAACCAAAATCCAAACCCAAACCCGAATCCAAACCCAAATCCAAATCCAAACCCTTATACAAAAACTATAGTTTCATGATACTTTTGGCCAAGACGTCGTTATTTATTACAGGCTATTATGTTACACCTTTACTCATACCCGGTCATGCACATAACCCCAAATATGGCGTTTCTGCGGGTGTTAGGAACAATATAATATTAATCTGGGGCGTTTCCAATGGCATTGGTCGCATTTTAGTAGGCTTCTTGGCAGACATAAGCTACGACAATAATCATAAGCAACCATATTTGACATCATACACAATCATCACATTTTGCACAATTGTTTGTGCTGCGGCAATGTTTATTTTTCCACATGTCATGACCTACGGCAACGCTTCGTTCATTTTACTTCAAATTATTTATGGCTTTTTTGTTGGTAAGGAAAACACATTTTTATAATGTAATAACTACAGTCATATAATAATAGCTGGTGGCATAAGTCTCCGATCTGTCATCTTAAAAGAGCTGATTCCAGGAAGTGTCGCTAAGCCTCTAGCTTGGATGTACTTTAGCGATGGTCTCTTTGTTGTTCTAGGATTTTGCTTCTCTGGTAAGTATTCTCGTTAATTGTAAATGTTATCTGTAATCCACGTTTCTATATTATTGTGATTAACAGCTTATGTCGACACAATTACTCCAATGTGGGCATACAACTTTGCTGGCGGCTGCTTTGTTGCAGCCGTGGCGACGATGTTTTTACTTCTACAACGGTACTTAAAAGCATATCATGAAAATCTTGCAAAAAAAGCTAACGAAAAAGCTGCTCCAAAAGCTAGAAATGAGCCTGAAGACGAAGCTAACAAGGTTGAGGCCATAGAATTGTTAAACAGTCAAAATGGCGATGCTAATCCAGCCTAACTCCTTATGACCATAACGTTTGACCACATGTTCATGGAAACGCTTGGACATATACCGCTCTAATTCATATTCTATTTTAATTTATCAGTTTTTAATCTATCACCTTATTTTGTCTGTCCTTACTATTTTCCTTTTACCCACAATCAATGTATCCTTGGTAGAAAATACCTATAATCCATCTATTGCCAACTATTCCCACGCTCTGGAAGTACACTCTGCAGAGTACACCCTGCAGACTCCTATGGTTTTTGCACATCTTTTGATATACTGGACATCTGGCTTCCGGAGCGGTTTCGTTGCCCAGGCTTAAAATGGGTGACATCGCCACAACCGGATCAGTCGAGAGACCGGGCGTTGGCGATGGCAGAGGCACCTCCGTGGACATGTCGTGTGTGAGGCTTTCAGCACGAGAGAAGCAAATCAATCCCAAAGATGAATGTTTCTCAGTAGAAAAGCATGTTTATTGTGAAGTTGGCAACGCTTTATATAGGCACATGAGAGAGAGAGATGACGTTGAAAGAGAGAGTGAATACATCGAGGTGAACACAACGAGAAAGTGAATACAGAAGATGAATACGTCAGGATGAACACAAGAAGAGAGTGATCACGTGGAAATGAACAATCACATATGATAAGAGAACACAAAGAGAAAGTCGATACGTCAGGATGAACACAAGAAGAGAGTGATTACGTGGAAATGAACAGTTACATATGATAAGAGAATACAAAGTGAATGACGGTCAGATAGAACGTACTGGATAACATATGTTGTGAGGAAAGAGAACGAAAGAAAAGAGAACGAAAGAAAAGAGAACGAAAGAGAAGAGAATGTGTCTTTGATAACCCATGTTATAGAAGAATAGAGAAATGGGTATTACTACCTAACATCGTGCTATTTACGTGATATTCACGAACGTAAACAACGATGCAGCCAAGCTCCGTTAAACATTTCTTTCATTGAGCTACCGATTCTTCAACCTTCATTGCGATAGTTGCAAGCAAACGACCTCTCCTGACAAGCTCTAGCCCTTGACCCTACTTCTTTGGTATATTTGCGACCGACTACTGTGAGTTATGCACCAGAGGCCGAATCGAACCGGGTTTTTCTGGATCGAGTTCGGTTTGGTTCGGATTCACTTTTGGAAAATAGGTTCGAGTTCGGTTCGACCTTACTTTTGAAAACACGGTTCGAGTTCGGTTCGACCTTACTTTTGAAAACACGGTTCGAGTTCGGTTCGGTTCGGATGAATTTTTTAAAAACCAGTTCGGGTTCGGTTCGGTTCGACTTCTTTTTCGAGAAGGTGGTTCGAGTTCGGTTCGTTTCGGCTGCTCTTTAAAAAAAACCAGTTCGGCTGCGGTTCGACTCGAGTAGTATTACTGCCATATAATCAAGACTAGACCAGAAGTCAAAACTTAGTTTTCAGACGATCAAAGTCGTCACATGGGAGTTCATATTCGTATCAATTAACACTGATAAATACATTTGTAGATTAAAATTATATGTTAACATTGATACACGAGAACTAGAAATATTCTAATGCTGATACTAATATCATATCACTACCGACAATTATTCATCGCACTTTAGAAAAATGGAGAAAGGACAAGTGGCGGTAAGGCCATTTTCTCACCCCCAACATTTTTT